CCTGGCTCAAAACAGAGAATATCAGAAAGATATTTATTTGTGTTTTACTGACTATGCCAAGGCAGTCAATTGTGTGGTGCATAACAAACTATGGAGAACCTTGAGAAGAATGGGAATTTCCAGAACACTTCATTGTGCTCATGAGGAACTTGTAAATGGATAAAGAGCAGTTATGTGGACAGAAAAAGAGAATGCTGCATGTTTTAAAATCAGGAAAAGTGTGCAATAGGGTTGCATTTTCATTATAGTTATCCAATCTGTATGCTGAGAAAATAAACAGTCAGATTGTATTATAGGAAGAAGAATGCAGTATCAGGATTGGAGGAAGGCTTATTAACAAACTGTGATAGGCAGACAACACCACTTTGCTTGTGGAAAGTGAGGAGCACCTGAAGCATTTGCTGATGAAAGTCAAAGATTATAGCCTTCGGTATGGATTACCACTCAATGTAAAGAAAACCAAAATCCTCACAACTCGACTAATACGTAACATCACAATAAATGGAGAAAAAGTTAAGGCTGTCAAGGATTTTGTTTTGTTCTATCCACAATCAATACTCATGAAAACAGCAGTCAGGAGATCAAACGACACTGCATTGGATAAATCTGATGCACAAGACATTTTAAGTGTTGAAAAGCAAGGACTCAATTTAAAGACTAAAGTGAGCCTGGTCCAAGCATTGTTATTTTCAATAGCCTCATGTGCAGGTGAATGTTGGACATTGAGTACTAAAGATGGGAGAATTGATGCTTTTGAACTGTGGTGCTGGAGAATAATATTGAAAGTACTATAGACTGCCAAAAAAAAAACACAAATAAATCTGTATTGTAAAAAGTACAGCCAAAATGCTTCTTAGAGGGAAGAATGGCAAGCCTTTGCTTCACATACTTTAAACATGTCAGGAGAGATCAGTCCGTGGAGAAAGACTTTAAGTTTGGTAAAATAGAGGGGCATCAAAAAGAAGAAAGATTTAGACAACATGGACTGAAACAGTGACAGCAATGATGGACTCAAATATAAGGACAATTATGTAGATACCAGAATTTTGCTCTGTAATATATAGGGTCACTATGAGTCAGAACTTATTTCATGGTACCTAACAACAATAAGGATTAGAAGAGCCATATATAGTAAGTCACTGCCCTGCTACATGGATCCAAATTTTCATTTACCCGCACTTCCAGCAGTCTGGTGGTTCAAGCACACACACCAGAAAACAATGTTCTAATCTTACATTTTGTTATAAATTTGTAACAAATTTATAAACCTCTATAAACCTATTACCATGTATTGTATTAAACAAACTAAACATCGCCAGATTTTCTCTGACTCAGAGTCACTGCATTTGAGATTTTGAAGATAAGTTAATGTTAGACTGTGAAGGAACCTTTCCTGGATACATATATTTTACATGCCTTTCTTTTTCCAAATGCCGTCAATAACAACAAGCAAGGTGAAACAGTAAGTTATCTATTCAACAATCTATAATTTCTAGATTTTCCCTACTTTTTGCAAGCTTAATCACAGGGTTTCAGATCCAACTTTATATATGAGTGTTTAAATTTGTCCAACAAACGTGAGGAAGATCCAGATCTTGAAAGAAGCACTGATTCTTCATCAGTTGGTCAATGATGGATTCAGGGCATTCCCACACTAGAGCTCTGAATTTAGCACAGGAACTTTTGTTTTTGTTGAGGCAGGTGGGCTTGTGGGGGTCTTCCGGTTTTAGGAACTTCAGACTTCTTAGTGCAGTTTATATTACTTGCCCCAATCCAAGAATGCATTTGTAACGTGCTGGAGCGGAGCTTTTCCGATCAGAAATGTGACACCTTATTATACCCCAGACATAAAGAACTCGCTCTCCTCCTTTTGTCCTTGTTACTTTTTCATTAAATCATTTTATTAGGGGCTAGTACCACTCTTATCACAATCCATACACACATCCATTGTCTCAAGAATATTTGTGCATATGTTGCCATCATCGTTTTCAAGGCATTTTCTTTCTACTTGAGCCCTTGGTATCAGCTCCTCATTTTCCCCTTCCTCCTCCCTTCCTCATGAACTTTTGATAATTTATAATTACTATTATTTTTTCATGTCTTGAACTGTCACATGTCTCCCTTTACCCCCTTGTCTGTTGTTCATCCCTCTGCAATGGGGTTATAGGTAGGTCATTGTTAATGGTTCCCCCTTTCTCCCCCCACCTTCCCCTTACACTCCTGGTATGGCTACTCTCAATATTAGTCCTGAGAAGTTTATCTATCCTGGATTCCCTGTGTTTCTAGCTCTTATCTGTACCCATGTCCATGCTCTGGTGTAGTCAGATTTGTAAGGTAGAATTACAGTCGTGATAGTGAGGGGTGGGGGTGGGGAGGGAGGATTAAAGAACCAGAGAGAGGAAAGCTGTATTTTCATTGGTGCTGTACTGCACCCTGGCTGATCCATCTACTCCCCACAGCCCTTCTGTAAGGGGATTTCCAAGTGCTTACAGATTGGCTTTGGGACTCCATTCCGTACTCCCAGCCTTATTCACATTATGATTTTTTGCTCTGGGTCTTTGATGCCTGATACTTAATCCCATCAACACCTCATGATCACACAGGCTGATGTGCTTCTTCCATGTGGGCTTTGTTGTTTCTCAGCTAGATGGCCGCTTTTTATCTTCAGTCTTTAAGACCCCAGATGCTATATCTTTTGATAGCCGGGCGCCATCAGTTTTTTTCACCACATTTGCTTATGGACTCGATTTGTTTTCAGTGATCTTGTCAGGAAGGTGAGCATCTCAGAGTGCCAGATTATTAGAACAAAGTATTCTTGTGTCGAGGGAGTACTTGAGTAGAGGCCCAATGTCCATTTGCTTCCTTAATACTAAACTTATAAGTATATGTGTCCCCAGGGAACGCCAAAAATAGACTGTGGGGCCAGGACATGGCTCCCCATCAGACTTAACTGGAAAACACTCGTAAAGGACAATATATAGACCTCGAATTATTTATAGTCTTTTCTTTTTCTTTTTTTTTAAGCAAAAGGGAAGAAATTTATTGGAGCCCATATGGGAAACCCTAGAGGGGCCCAGCATACCCTACTGTGTAGCCATGACCAGCAAAGGGTCACCCCATTCACTGTACCCCCATGTCCCAGAAGGACTCCCCTTGAGCCGAGCCCCAAAGCTCCAGGACTGGCTGGGGTAGGGACTGCTTTTCTTTTTGTTGTTGTTGCTATTGTTTTATTTTCTATTGTTACTTTGTTGTGATTGGTCTTGTGTTTGTGCATATTGTTGTCCCTGCATGTGTATCTGGATGGGATTGGTGGAATAAACAAGCCAGAAGAGAGAACAACAGGACAACAGTTCCAAGGGGGACATGGGAGATGGGGAGGCAGGGGAAAGGAAGTGTGTGTTAACAAACCCAGGGACAAGGGAACAACAAGTGACTGACAATCAGTGGTGAGGAGGGTGTAGGAGGTCTTATAGGGCTTGATCAAGGGCAATCTAACCGTGAGGAATTACTGAAACCCAAATGAAGGCTGAACATAATAGTGAGACAAGAGGAAAGTAAAAGGAAATAGAGAAAAGGACTAGGAGGCAAAGGGCATTTATAGATATCTAAATACAGGCATGTACATATGTAAGTAGATTTATATATGATGATAGGGAAATAGATCTATATAAATGTATCTATAGGTTACTTTTCTTCTATCATTCTCTGTAATCAAAATCTTTTGAAATTATTATATTTCACCTCAGCTGCACTGGTAAACTGCCAGGGCAGAAGTTTGAAACTACCTGCCGGTCCATGGGAGAAAGATGGTGCTTTCTTCTCCCATAAAGAGTTACAGTGTTGGGAACTCACAGGGACAGTTCTACCCTGTCCTACAGAAGTTACTACGAGTCAACATCAGCATGATGGCACTGAGTTTGAGTCACAACTTGAAATTATTTCTGACTTCAGTCTCTTTGGCTTAAGTATCCAGTTCATCACACTTTACTTTTCATTCACCTTATTTTCCATCTGTGACAATCATCTGAATCCTAATTTATCTTAATTTGGTTTTGCTTAAAAAAATGCCTATTAGAATACAAGCATTCTGAGGGCAAGTAACTTTTATATGATTTTGTTTTGGTTGTATTTTTTTTGTGTCCTCAATGTCTAAATTGTTGCCTATTCAAGACATTTTTAAAAATAGCTACTGCATATGTGAATTATTTAAATTTACTAAAGATATTAACACATTATAATTGTGTTATATCTATATAGTGTGACATATCTTTTTCTTTGTTTAAGGATTTACTTGTAATGCTTACCAACCAAGTGAGATTGAATATTTTAATAAGCCTGAACTATCTCATTTCCAGTACACCTCTTAAAATGCTGACTAATTCTTCTCTTTGTGGTTTTTGTTATAACCTCCTAGAGAGGTGTAATTCCTCTTTCTTTAGACCTTGCAATCCCATTCTAAGTATCAATGTCAATTATACTGAACAGTTTGGAAATACCATATGATATGTGCTCAGGTATAAAAGGGACTGAATGCAAGAAATATTGAAATAGCTTAAGAAACCATTACTTCTGGAATAGTAAAGTTGGGATACGTAATCACTGAGAAAACTAAGATACAGCCAAATTATTATTATCAGTTTATAATAGAGACCATAAATTCATAATAAAGGAGTAGTTCATAATCAATTACAGAGAGATTTACTAAAAGAACCATTTTTATTAAGAAGAAATGTTTCTCAACAAGATGAAATCAATACAATCATAACAGAGAATCAAAGATTAAAGGAGTACGACTAACATTTGGAAACTAGTCAGAGACTATCACAGAGACTCTGGACATTAAGATGCCATCCGAAGAAATGAATAACAACAACTTTGGTACTTGAATATCAACAACTTTGTCAATCATGTACTTTCTCAATAATCTTGATGAAAGGTTCTTAAATAATTATTTTTCAAAGTGTCATTCCATTAGGAAATGATATTCTGACATTGATCTTCTAGCAGCAAGAATAGCATCTTCTGTAGCAAAATGGTCGATAACCACAGGATCCATAGCCAGAACCATATCCACAGCCATATCCGGAACCATATCCACAGCCATAACCGGAACCGTATCCACAACCATAGCCAGAGCCACAGCCACAGCCATAGCGGGAGCCATATCCACAGCCATAACAGGAACCGTATCCACAGCCATAGCCAGAGCCATATCCACAGCCAGAGCCACAGCCAGAGCCACCGTAGTAGTTGTAGCACATGGTGTCAAGAAACAAAGTTTCAGTTGATTTGAAAGAGGATGATTCTGAAGTCTGAATATCAGATGATATTCCAGGTCCTTTATATACTGCCAGAAATGGGTGTGGCACACTTTGTAGCCCCATTACTACAGCGATTTTCATTTTTAAAAAGCTCATCACACTATGGAGTAAAACATTTCCAGGGACTACTGTAGGTACCCTACACATGGAACAAGTATGTCTTGTGGAATGTACTAAAGACCTAATGTAGATTTCCTCCTCAGAGGCACTAATTCTCTTGCCCTTCCAAGTACCCAGGATCAGGCACTAAGAGATGGCTTTACGTTTCTTATCTCAGCATCAACAGGAAATCCCCTCACCTGGAAATGAGAGAAAAGAGCAGGGGCATATGATGACACACTTAAAGGTTATCCATGTTCAGCACAGCACTATTTATCAAAGCAAATAAGATGGAAATAACCTAAATGCCCAACAGTGGAAGAATGGATCAATAAATGTTGAAAAAGTTGCAAAATGGAATACTATATACATTGTTAAAGAATAATGATGAAACAGTGAAACATCTTGAGACATGGATGGATTTGAAGGATATTATGCTGAGTGAAAAGTAGACCAAATGCCTAACCATGGGCTACCTAGTCATCAGGAGTTGCCCATCATGAACTGCATGTTGTCTAACTCTGAGAGTCATAAAATTGGACACACACAGCAAAACTCCATCATTAAATGGGACTTCCTGGAAGCTTTCTTGGTTTTCCTGATTCTGGATCCTCCCTTCAGCTACTTTAACTCCAATTGTTTGAATTGAACCAATTACTTCTTGCTGATCCTGGGGGTCTTCCACAGCCTGCCATTTAATCTATTGGCATTCTATGCATTTGCCTCTGCTATTCTGTGCCTGATCTGTTGACCTTGAATCCGCTCAAATTTTCAGCCGCTATACTATCATCTTAAGACCGATCTTAGTTTCATCAGCCACCCACAGTTACGTGAATCAAGAGAAATGTTCAGCCTACCATCTGATGCATAAACCAGGAATTTGCCTGGACCTAAAATCTGACTCCCTCTGCCGTTCATTGAGCTATGTTCTTGATATGCATTGGCTTCGCTTGATATATATGAGCTTCACTGGTTTTGCTTCTCATTAAAACTCCATCTAAGGCACTATATTTGCCATACTGCAAAAGTTTGATGGTAGATAAGGAAGACTGTGAAAGAATTGATATGTGTGATTTATGGTCTCAACAAATAATCTTCAATATATATTATACACAATACATAATCTTCAAATTATCTGAATAATCTGTCTTGAAGGAAGTACGGCCAGAATACTCCTTCAAAGAATAACAAGACATCATCCCATATATTTGGAAAGTTACCAAGAGACACTAATCTCTAGAGAAGTCCATCATCCTTGGCAATGTAGAAGGTCAGAGGCAAAAATGGACAGCACTCAATAAGATGGATTGACACATGACACATAATATGGACTCAAATATAGCAATGGTTGTAAGAATGATGCAGGAAAATGCTTTTCTTTTCTTTTTTCTTTCTTCTCCTTAAGATCATGCTGAATCACAGCAGATTTAATGGCACTAGCATCATCAACAACAACAACCTGGAATGTTATTCCTGCTAATAATAACCACATTTTAACAATCTCACATTTAAATAATCTCAAATTTCTTATATCAAAGCATAGCCTCCCTCTTAAGAAACCTGCTTCATATGTGCATTTTACATTTATCCCATAGTATACGCTCCAATATATATTGTCATATTAAATGCATTGGCATAATGGACTCCATTTTTGGTAACAAATTACTGAGTTTTAATTGAGTAGTTTTATTCCTTATGATTTGGCACTGCTTTTTACTTTATCGTCTTTTTTATTGGTTACTTAATACGTTTCCATTGAAACTGGTAAAAGATACTGGCTCTTTAGTGAAAGCAGAGTTTAGAGGGAAGCATGATAAAAGTGAAATATCGCTTATGGTAGACTGAAGAGTCAGTGGACAAGTGTGTAATACATTACATTTTTGATGGAACATGCCATTAAAAGGAAAGAGACTAGCTCAGCAGAAATGAGGAATCCATATTCTTCAAGAATTTCTAAAGCATAACATTTACCCATGACATCTAGAGAACATGTTACTCATCCAGTCTTTTGTGCCATGGAATATTATTTGCATACTATACTCCTCAATTATTGTTGTAAAACGAAATCATACATCAAAATGCTAGACTAACTGGCCTAATAGAGACTATTGCCACCCCTTAAACTATAGCCATTAGACACACTTCAAACCTGGTATTGGATCCATTCCCAGAGATTACCTTCACAGCCATGAGGGATATGCACCGCTGAACAGTCAGCCACACAGAATGAAAAAGGCAACTTTACCCCAAAACGAGATCAGAATGTAGAAAGAGGCAGGAAAGATGAAGGAATAGAAAACTAGACAATGAGTAATGAAGACTGCTGAAGACTTGATGCAGTTGAATTATTGAATTTGTGAAGAATTTTGTATTTACTATGGTATGGTAGTTAGATAATTTTATGTCAACTAGACACTCCTGGCTGGGATGGAGGCAAAACTTTCAACCAGGTCACCTTCTGATGCTGTCTCCTTGGGGGAGGAGGTGGCCTTCCTCCACTCTCTGTGCCCCTTCACCTTCCTTCTTGCTGACCACCCTCAGAGTAGCTGCTTCCCTGGCATGATTCCACTGAACTTGAATCCATCTGACTGCACCCACTAGCCTGTGACCTTCCTGCAATTTGCATCATTGCATATGCCTCGTGCATCTGAAGAAGGACTTATGGATGAGTATTGGACTTGACTTGAGTTGGACTGGTCTGGGATGTTTTCCTGATATAAAATTCATTCTTGCTCTAAAGTTCTTTCTTATATGTATATGAGTGTCACTGTATTTGTTTCTCTATTCAACCATGCCTAACACACATGAACTGCCAAAAGAATGAACCTGTCTTAGGATCCAGAATGCTCTTTACAAGTTCAGACAGTGAGAATTTCTCTTGCTTTAAATATGTAATCAGGAGGTATTGGTCACAGACATCATGCTTAGTAAAGAGTAAGGGGGAAAAAAGAAGAACCTCAACAAGATGTATTGACCGAGCCTTCAACAATTGCTTCAAACACAGCAATGACTGTGAGGATGGTACATGACCAGAGAGTGCTTTTTTGTGAAGTGTGTGTGTGTGTGTTTGTATTTAATTTTATAGAGACCCTTCATTAAACCCTAAACAAGAAGAAGGCATGTCATCAGGGTGAGGCAAACCATCAGCATGAGGACATGTGGTGTCCAAAAGATGCCTGACCGCATTGTTAAATACAGAGTATATAAAGCAAAAGAAATTTATCACAAAGCCATATCTGGTGGCACATACATTCACCACTATCAAAGCTGGGACTATAAAAGTGGAAATGGGTCATGATTGGGATACATTCATTACTGCAGGTTAGAAAGGTTTACAGGATTCATTGTGGGCCCCCCCCACCCCCTGCAACCACTTTGGTCAGGATATGACTCTTGCCCATGCAGCCCTGGTTTCCAGTTCCCATCAAGGACATAACTAGGCAAGCGTATGAGGACAAAACTGCTCCTCCATAGTCTGATTAAGGCGCTTTCAAACACATTCCATCTGCAGCAAAAAATGTTCACATTTGATGCATATGATCAGAATGAATTCAAAAGAAGCTGAATTTATGTCAAGTCTCTTAATGGAGTTGTGGCTCCCAGTTGTGTGGATTTTGGTGTTCTTTACACTGACTTGCAATCCATCCTGAAGGCTGCAGTCTTTGTACTTCATCAGTAAGATCTTCAAGTACGCTTTGCTTGAAGCTAATAGGGTTGTGTTATTGACATGTTGCAAGTTGTTAATGGGTCTACCTCTGAATGCTGCCTTCTTCTCAATAGGCCCTACTTCTCAAATTATTTACTCGGCATACAGATTGAATAGATGCAGTGAAGGGAGATAATCCTTGCATGTAAATTCCCTGATTTTAAACTATGCAACAGTCACTTGTTCTGATCGAATGACTGTCTCTTGGTCTATGTACAAGTTCCTTGCATGATAAAAGTCAAATGTTCCGGAATTCCCCTGTGGGTGGGTGTGTTTAATTTGTTTACATATTGTGATGGTTGGAATTCGTGTCAACTTGGTGGTACCTGTGTGGTGGTAGGCCTGGATTCCAACCTATCAATCAGGTCACAGCCTGATGACAGTGTCTTAGGGATGTGGCCTTTTTAATAAGAGAGTCACTGAGCTCATGCTTCTCTTCACCTTTCTTCTTGCCTGGATTGCACGTCTGACTCTGGGGTTGGTGGCCCATGTGACCTGCTTACTCTGTGAACTGAGGGGCCTGTCATATTCTTACAGACCTTGGAACCACACAGTCTTCTACCCAGCAGCCTGTGATCTACCAGCTTCCTCCTTTACCTTCCTGCTTCATCTATAAGCAGCTTCAGAGTCTCCAACTAGCATCTGACCCACAGACTTGAGTTGGATGATGCGGATTTCATAATATGAATTTATTTCTTGATATAAGGTTCCTCCAAATCCATAGAGGAGTGTCACTGGATTTGTTTCTTTGGAAAACTCAGCTTAACACAGTTGGGAACCAACACTGAGGCATAGCCAATAAAATGGCAATCCGGTAGAGTTGGATTCTCCTTCTCCTTTGTGTGGCCGGAGGTTAGAGGTGATGGTGCAATGTCTCCAAAGCCTTGGAAGCATGGAGCTTTGCAAAGGAAAAAAATGCATGAGAAATGAAACTTTTGATTCTTAGAAGTTTTCTTTGGTCAGTCTGACCTGAAAATGACTTTAGAAAAATGTAATAGATGTTAACCTGCTGAGTCCTGAAGAAAAGCTGCTGCTGGACATCCTGGCGTGGGGGCGGGGCCGGGTCATAATGCTTTTAGATAAAACAACTGGTGAAAGGCAAGGCCCGCTGGTTACAGCCTGTCACAGGCACAATGCCATCTGCATATGAATGGGATCAGCTAAGAGAACTTTGAATGTGAATGTTTTTAAAAGAGTTATGTTTAGAATCTGCCTGTACTATGATTATATTGATTTCCCTTGCCTGGTGTTATAGACAAAATATATGCTAGAAATGGGTATTGGAAGTTATGATTAGAGAGAGTTTGCAAGCCTAATGCCTTCAGCCTTTACAACCAGATTTGCAAAAGGGGAGTTGGTAGAAATAGATTTTTTTTAAAAATCCGAACCCACCCCTGGCATCTGGATGTATGCATTTGAAAAGACATGCAGATCCTCACAGAACCGCTGAAGAAGAGACTGTATTTTTTAAAAGTGACTTTCTTTTTGAATTTTGCACGAGAAGTTTGCCCGTGGATATGTCTAAGCTGGAAAAGTCTGTGCCCGTCATAGATCACCCCTTTAGGACTGAAAGTAAAAGTGATCCTGTGGGCGGCCTAGAATGCACAGTAGGTTACCACCTAGATTCACTTGCTGAGTGGAACTGGGGAAAATGCAGCAATGGGGAGGTGGCCACTGTGGCAGTTACATAATCTGTCAACTTAAGTGAAGTAGCCAATGATTCCTCTATGTAGAAATGGCCTTCTTCTGAGGATTCTGGGAACCCCTGTCTTCCTCCCTGGAGGTGGGACACACTCTCTCTCTGTCTTCCCTTTCCTGCTTTGAGATAATCAGAGAGCTTGTGGAGACATGTGGAGACCCACGCCAGCATTGAGATGCTTCCGTTGCCACTGGATCCACATGGCCTTCTACCCACTGACCTGTGTTCTGCCTGCATTCATCATCATTGCATGTGCTGTGTGAATCTAAAGAGGAATTTATGGACTAGTATCGGACATACGATCTAATATCGGATTTATGGACTTGAGCTGGATTAGGCTGGATGTTTTCTCAATATACAACTGCTCTTCTATATAAAACTCTTTCTTATACACATATGAGTGTCTAGGAAATTGTTTCTATAGTTAACCCAGACTAACACAGCCATTGACACCCTGGACCTGGTCCACAGGGACTAGAGAAGAAAGAGGAGGAAGGTCTGGCTGGTCTGAAGTTTAAAGAGTTATTGCCTGTGCCATGATCCAAAGTGACTATGGTTGATGAGAATGGGTGAAGGGGCCAGTGGTCTTAAAGGGAGAGTGATGCGTGGGAAATTTAGCTCTGGTACCCACTGACCTTCCTAGGACTGAGTTGACCAGAGACTAACTTGATAAAGAGGAAGATGCTTGATCCTGTCATCTGGTATACATTGCTTGAAGTTTTGATGAATGGCCTGCTCTAGATTTGATTCTGCTTATGAATGCAGATGCAAGAAGTGCCAACTGGAATAGAGATTCTTCACATCAAAGAATATGCTTGGCTGGTTTAATATGAATGTACAATTTATAAAGTGGATACCCCAAAGAGGAAAAAATAAAGGCATGAAAGACTGGTTTACAAACTTTCAAGGTGGTGTTAGTATCATAAGTGAAGCAAATGAGGATTCACATTGAATAATTTCCTCTTTTCCCAATGGGTCTAGAGAAAAGAAGGTAAGGTCAAGATAATATTAAAAGAATTACAGAATTCAGGTGTAGGTGAATGTTCACAGAACTGCAATTGTTAGGCATCAAATATTTTGTTGTGTTCACTTATAGAATATAAGATTTAAATTGGGCTGGTCTACTTTAATTGTACATGTTTTAATTGCATTCTGTTAGGCACAAGCTTGATTTCATTATTATCTTTATTTGGAGATTATATATGGTTAAAGAGTTATGTACAGATGTCAAGTTGACAGGCGGATGTCTATGATGATTAGATTTTATGTCAACTCTATGGTACCTGTATGGAGACCCAGTTGGAGTCCAATCTGTCAATCAGGTGATAGCCTGTTAGTCAGAGAGGCATTGAGAACTCTCTCTCAAGTGCCTATTTACCTTCCAGCTTGCTTGGCTTGCTTGTCTAGCTTTGACGCTGGTGACCCATGTGGCCTGCATGTCTGTGAACTGTCCCCACCCTGTAATGTTCCTCCAGACCTGGCTCCACGTGAATGTGGACCCATCAGTCTGCAATCTCTCAACTTCTTTCGTTGTTTTCCTGCTTCATTGGTCTGTAGCTTTGTGAGTCTGGGGAGGGCTCCATCGATCATCTGACTCTTTGGCTTGAGTTGGACAGGACAGGGCTGCTTTCTTAATATAAAATTCTTACTGAATGTAAACTTCTTTGTTCATACATATATGAGTGTCACTAGTTATTTTTTCTCTAGAAAATTCATCCTAACAAACATATAATGAATGCACAATATATATTCAATGAAACGTGCATAGACTTGGGATTATAAAACAAAATGGGAAGAAAACAGTTCTTCTCAGGTTGAAAGAATTCAAGAACAATTCAGCCTCAAGCTGATAGCCACTTAGAGTGTTTCCATATTTTTGCTATTATGAACAAGACTGTGATAAACATGATATATGAGTGTGCATATATCTCTTTGCACCATGGGTCTTATTTCTTTAAGATATATAGCTAATAGATGGATTGTGAGATCATATGATATTTCTAACTCTAATTTTAAAGGAAATGCTATGCTGTTTTGAAGTTGTTGTGCCATTTTATATCCCCAGCTGCAGTATATGAGAGTTCACATCTCTCCCTCCAGAATGTATTGTTTTCTGCTTGTTTATATTTAACTTTCAGAGAGATGATAGGTTTCCTTTTCTTTGTTTTTTTATTCTCACATTTAACAATGAATTCTGATTCCAGTCCTCAATAACAAACAACTATATCTTCAATTCAATACCCTTTAGCATACAATTACCACATGTCCTTTTCTTGAGATTTTTTGTCATGACCTCCTAAATAAGTATCAGTATTCTTCCTTAATATACTCAAATTCCTTTCTCAATAACATTTTCAGCATCAGAGCACAGTTCTGAAATGCATGTCCTGTGTACTGGATCTGTGTGTGCCTAAATATGTTGGGCACGAGAAACAGGCAGAGCATATATGCTTTATGATGCGAGTACAAGAGGAGATACTTGTAATAATGAAGAACATCAAGTCCAACAAGCATGTGGTTAGTCCAGTTATCAAGCCTAGTCATATCTCCAGACAGGATTAATTCACAAGAAACTGCAGAGATATTTGCTATAAAGAACCATTTTATTGAAAACAAATGATTCCACCAAATATAGGGGAAATTCACATAGACATAAAAGCAGATCAGAGATTAGAAGAGTCTAGATTAGCAATTAAAAATTAGATGACATTATAGAGCTTTTGGTCATAAAGATGCCAATGTTTGTCAAGAATAGAAGTTCAGGAATACAGAAATCATATTGTAGGGTCTCTTAAATCAAAATTATTCGTTTGAAGTGTCATTTCAGAGGCAAAACTTGTTTGAATAGCATTGTTCTAACAGCAAGAATAGCATCTTCTGTAGCAAATGGGCCGGTAGCTACAGCATCCAGAACCATAGCCAGAGCCATAGAGGGAGCCAAAGCCACAGCCATATCCTGAACCGTATCCACAGCCGTATCGGGAACCGTATCCACATCCATAGCCCGAACCGTATCCACAGCCATATCCGGAACCATATCCACCGCCATATCCCAAACCGTAGCCACAGCCATATCCCGAACCGTAGCCACAGCCGTATCCGGAACCATAGCCACAGCCATAGCCGGAACCATAGCCACAGCCGTATCCGGAACCATAGCCACAGCCATACCCTGAGCCATAGCCACAGCCATAGCCACCGTAGTAGTTGGAACACATGGTGTTGTTGAGAGGTGAAGTTTCAGCTGAGGTGGAGGAGGAGGATTCTGAAGTCTGAATGTCATCCACTACTCCAGGCCCTTTATATACACCAGAAATGGGTGGAGCATTCTTAACATAGACTCTATGACTCCATTACTATAGCAATTTTCATTTTTAAGAGTTCATCAGACTAAGGCCAATGATATTTTCACAAGGATTTGTCCAACATTTGACACTAGGCAATCAAGAATGTTGTATGAAATTAGATATCCCATACAGCTGGGGCACATATGTCCTATGGAATGTAATCAAACCTAATTTAGGTCACTTCTTCTTCTCAGAGGCATTAAGTCTCCTGTTCTTCCAGCACACATACGGAGGCACCAGGAGATGGAGCAACCTCTCAGATCTCAGCATCAATAGGAAAGCCCCTGGACTGGGAGGTGGGAAGCAATGATCAGGAGCAAACAATGAGGTACTCTTTCCTGCAAATACTTTCCTGCAAAAAACCTAATGGGTCCAATGCAAATTGATTGCTACAGTGATGGCAGAAACAGGAGACAGGTGAGGCCTCAAAGATGTGAAATCCTTCAAAAAGGGGATGTGATGCAATATACCAAATTAAATATAATCATATTTTTAGCCAATGCAACAAAATTTACTCCATCTAAGGTTTCATAGCATATAACTTTTGGGCATACGATGATGGATTTCTTATCCTTTGGTTTGGAGCATTCACCCTTAACAGTAAAATCTGATTCCAATTCCTCAGTAACAAAGGACTATACCTTCAACTCAATTACTCCTTTGCATGTGTCCTTTACTTGAGATATTTGTCATTATCTCCTAAATAAGTGTCATTGTTCTTCCTTGATATATTTCAATTCCTTTATCAACAATATTGTTCTCAAAGCAGAGTTCTGACATGTGTATGCTTTGTACTGGCTCTGTATGTGCCTAAATATGTTAGACAAAAGAAGTATGTGGCGCAGACTTGATTTATGATGCAAATATAAGAAGAGGTACTTATAAGAGTGAAGAACATACGTTCTTCTTAGAAACACCTTGCCTATTTATCTCACCAAATGTTCACCTATTAATGCTGCCCCACTGGTGGCAGAGTGCTTGCATGTTGGCTGCTAATGGCAAAGTCAACAATTAGAAATGACAAGCCCATCTCACAGGAGAAAGATAAGGCTTCCTACAGTCTCAGAGTCCCACAGGGGTAATTCAACCCTGTATCATAAGGTCATTGTGAATTAAGAGAAAATATAAAATCTGTGAGGCCTTCTGTTGCCATAAAGCTTTACAGTCTCAAAAACCCTATGTTGAGTCAACATGAACCAGAATAAATTCAATTATAGTGACTTTGGCATGATATAATTCCCTCATGAAGGAGTCAGGGTGGGGCCAAGGATTAAGTATTGGACTGACAATCACAAGGTTAGTGAGGACAGTGATTCAAACCCATTATCAACTCTGTGAGAAAAGGGCGAGGCCATCTGATCCTGTAAAAAGTTACCTTCCAGGACCTGATGAAGTAGTTCTACTTAATTCTACATGGATGCTATGAGTCAGGATCCACTGGAGGGAAATGGTTTTGGCTTTTGGTTTTAATGCGCCAGTGATCTCATCATAGGTCAGGTGGCTCTATCTTCCATCAGAAGCACTTATGTACATTCCCAGTGTGCATTAGGCAACATCCATCCACTTTTCTATATATCCCCGTGCATAATTCTAATGTGGTACTGAATATGTTATGAGCACAATAAAGGGTGTCCCAAAGTCCCATTATTCTCAAGGTTAGCCATAGTACAAAGGTTATCCATAGGTTAGTATGTTCCACATAGTCAAATGCCTTTGCACAGTCAATAGAACACAAGTAAACATCTTTCTGGTATTCTCTTTCAGCCAAGATCAATTTGGCATGGGCAATGATATCCCTTGTTCCAAGTCCTCTTCTGAATCCATGCCAAACCTCTGGTGGCTACTTGTCAATATACTGCTGCAACCATTGTTGAATTGGTCTTCAGCAAAATTTTACTTGCAATAAATTATCAATGATATTGTTCAATAGTTTGAGCATTCCCTTGGGTCACCTTTCTTTGGAATGAGTACAGCTTGCTGAGCCATTTCAATTGGTATTCCATCAATTCATGGTAACTTGTTTGGGGCTAGTGCTTTCAGTGCAGCTTGAACTTCTTCCTTCATATGCTACCTCTTGAAATGATGAAATGCCAATTCATACCTTTTGGTACTGTGGCTCTGTATTCTTTCTATCTTCACTTGATGTTTACTGCATCATTCAATATTTCCCCCATAGAATTTTTTAAGATTGGGAGAGGGAGAGGTGGGGGGAAGGGAAGAGGTGTTAACAAATCCAGGGACAAGGGAACCAGAAGTGATCCAAATTGGTGGGGAGGTGGGTGTGGGAG